ACGAGACTAGACAAGGACATAAGAGGCTAAGCAGGGAAGCTAAGGGAGAGGAGGAGAGGAGAAAAGTGCGACCGCCTTTGTCAAGAGCAGAAAAAGAAAGAAAAATGTATCACCCCCAGTTTTATGCACTGGTTCCCGGTTAAGTGTTTCCTAAAAAATTCTCACCTACCAACCCATTCACTGCTCCACAGGACCTACTGGACTTTCTACCTTACACCTCATCTTGAACTCTGTGTTCCTCAGTGAAATACTTTCCATGCCCCATACAGGACTGCAGTCCTTTGGGGACACATCCATAGTTGATTTTGTTGTTGTTATTGTTATTAGTATTATAGAGACTAGGGTAACAACTCTGTCAGGTTTAGTGACCAGGTTAAATTTAACCAGGTTAAAGCAGGTGAAAGCCTTCAGGGTTTTATTCTGTTTCATTTAGGAGTCGAATGCGCAGCATCAGCTTAGAGATACTAAACGAGGATGACCTTGTTTTTACCCCGGACAGCTTTATGGATGGTTACACTGTTACACAGACATTTCTGCCTGTAGCAATGATTCAAATTTCAGTCTCAATTCTGTATTTGTTTTTAATCTCAACTCACACGGTGAAATGTGATTATCAAGTATAGCAATGTCAGTGTGACCAAAGTCACTGTCAGTGTCTGTAAGTGTCAGACAATATTCTAGAAGTTTCCTTTTTTGTTTAAAGAGCTAACCCAGAGGTAGAGAGGCTCTATAAAAAGATCTGATCTCTCTCTCCAACATGGGGCCTTTTAAAGATTATGTGAGTGCTTATAAAGCAGTTTTGTTTCGAGCCAAAACGCAACACAATCCATTGTTATTGGTGACTGGAAAAATCAAATTTTCTACAATAAATTGGCTATCTTGTGCTCTTGAGGCCCCCCACATATTTCACGGTTCACTAACAGCTACTGGCACACGCCACCTCCCTCTGACGGTTATCCAGCCTCCTGTCCTTCTTGACCAGCTATCCAACTATTTTGGCCTCACTGGTTGAGCGCTGTCTTCACTTCTGCTTTCAGGATGCATTATGTCACCTGGACACCCACTTCATTCTCTGCTCCAGTGAGTCAGTAAGGACTTTTCATCATTTACATTCACCCCCTTGGTCAGATCATCTTCCACCATCGACTAAGCTTCCATGATACGCAGTTATATCTAAGCACTAAACCCTCTGGTTAGTTCCCTGCTTTGTCCCCTATCAGCAGTCTAAAACTATTTAACCAATTCTCTCAAATAGAACAAAATAAAATTGAAGTCTTGGTTGTGGCTCCTACGTCACTGCTTTCAAAGCTGACGGATTTGGGCCTTAATTTTGAGTCTTCACAACCTGGGTGTCATTCTGGACTCCATTCTTTCATTTTCATCATATATTAAACCCATCTCTAAATCTGCCATCTACCACATCAAGAACATCTCCAGACAACAGCTTATACCCTTAAACTCAGCAACAGAAATTCTCATTCAGCAGCTGAAACTCTTATTTATGCTTTTATCACCTCTGACATGGACTGCTACCGTAGTGTTCTGTTTGGGTTGCAAACAAAGCCCTGCGCGCACACACACACAGACACACACAAGCTGCAGTATGTTGCATGTATGTATCAATCAATCAATCAATCAATCAATCAAT